AATTTTTCAACTATATTTTACTTGTAATAATATCTTTAAATTATTCAATAGAATATATTTCATTAAATAATTGCATCCTGTGATTTATTCCTATTTCACAATTAGGAATATCAACTTTATTGTTATATACATTTATATAATCAATATCATTATATTCGAAAAAATCATATACATCATCCTTATCAATACAATAATTATATAGTATGCAAGCTGCAATCACTGTATTAGTAATGAAAGTCATATCACAATATTCTGTAAAAAAATTTTACACATCAAAAACGTCCGTCCAAATGCTTTTTCAATAATTATCCGTGTCGATGAATACATAAAATTGAATTCTATTTGTTGAGGTGTCAAATTTCCATTATTTCGAAAAGATGAAACAAGCTATGATAAGCACGGATATGCCGAATCACCTAACAAAAATGTTTGATTAGGAAATAGTATATTTTTATTTTCAGTAGCTGTTTCATATAAAATAAATATAAAAGTGATCTTCTAAATACGCGTGCATCGTGCAGAGAATTGGGTTCAATATATATTAGTAAAATGCATGTCTGCCTCTATAACGGCTTGTAAATTGATAGAAAAAAATTTTTCTATTAATAATTCCATACTACTTCGTTAGAAGGTTTTATAATTTTAATATGAGTACTATCTATCGCGCCTAAAACATGAATTCCTCGTTTTGTGCTAAATTTTTCGTATGTAATCATAACTTGATGTTCTTCTAGCCATTTAATAACTACATCTAGTTTTGCTAAAAGCCAAGCTACAATCCATCGAAGAATCCAAAGAACAGAAGAGATTGAAACATTAAATCTGTCAGATAAAATTCGTAATGGTTCTGTGTTAGCAATATACCATTAAAAGAGTAAAAAACTTAATTTTGCTGATATTGGTCTTACATCAAAAGAATGTGATGGAATATATCCTGATAATTCTAACTCTTCAATTAAAATTGAAGCAGTATCGAGTTAATATCGTAAATATTCCTTGAATTCTTGATCTCCAAGTCCAGGTCCAAGAATCAACAATTTATAAATAATTTTCAATACGATGTCTTTTAGTATTCATTAAGTAGCGTATCAAAGGAAACAATAATACATCTTCATTTTCCTCTTCAATATTTATTGATGTTAGGCTATTGTCATCAGTGCTCTTGAATATAATAGTGTTTGATTCATCACTACTCAAAGTACTAAACGCTTCCATTAACTGATTAATTATTAGCCGGTCAATCTGTTTAGAAATTATTAATATTAACAAAATTAAGATTATATTTACATCAATTTTACAATTTTATAAAAATTTAATACATTATTAATGTTGTATAAATAAAATTTGTATTAATAAAATTTGTAGTAAATGTGTAAAAATACAAATTATCTTTTTCTTTCTTTTAAATTAATATATAACATATTTTGATATATTAATAGGTATCGCAAATTTTTTTTTAAGTTATATCGAAGACGATATGATTACAAAATTAATTGTCTCGTAAATATATTTCATAAATAGGCCGAGGGCCAAGATTGAATCTACTATCCACCGATTGTGAATCAAACACCGAACGTGAGCTGAACGTGCATCGCTCCCAGATGCAAATATTTTAGGGTGAGGTCCAATCGGACACATTGACGATTGGTCGATTAAATAAAAAAAGCCACCTATCAAAAAATTTTTGATAGGTGGCTCACTAGAAAATTCCTAGGCATCAGCTGATGTGAGTGGTGTGTCCAATTGAGAATGTGCGCATCTAGGACGCTCCCATATTTTAAGAGTTATGTTCGAGAATAAAGCAACCAAAACCTTCAACAAACTTCAATTAATGATTATATCTAGAATTAAAAGGCATTCCATCAAGCAGACATTGTGTTTAATTGTGTGACACAGTACCTATCTGTGTCTTCTTGCTTCCAGTGCTTTCCAACAACGACACGACATTATACAGCTTAAAAGTTAAGTTGCTTGTACGTCAAGTACATGACTACCAACTATTTGGAAAAGATTAAAATTAATGTGCTATAAAAATTTGGCAATTCTGGAAATAAATAATACAATCATGATGTAAAAAGAAAGGTGTAACATCACGTATGCGCAGTCTCGACCAATAAGAATTGAGTCAAAATGCTGAAAAGCAATATGGCTGCAACGCGAAATTCCGAAGTTTTTCCAATTAGTGCAGAGAACATTAACTTATATTAGAGACGCGATTTGTATCGTTTGTTTCCTGTAAATGATTGCGAGCAAATAGCTATTTGTGAGTATATAGCAAAGAAATATATAGCTGCAGATGATATATCGAATTGTTACAACAGCCACAGAATTTCATCACCTCGGATTTTACACACACACACACACACACACACACACACACACACACACACACACACGCACGCACGACACGCACGCACGCAC